TAATATAATATAATATAATATAATATAATATAATATAATATAATATAATATAATATAATATAATTATGTAATTGTGACAAAAGTGGGACTAGAAAACGAAGGTAAGTAGATAAGCTATAGGCGTTCTAGCCCAAAATCCCATGTATTTTCTTATAGAGGTTCAAATTAGCGTTCAAGGCCATTCGTTTCATAAATGTTTTTATACGCATGCGTGATTATTTTACCGATAAGATAAACAAATATCCGTTTGAAAGAAACAGGGAGCTATTACATAAAAACAGGTAAAAAACGGGTAAAAACAGGAAAAAACGGGTAAAACAGGTAATAAACAGCTCCTTGTTTAACCCGTCACACCAAAGTTTTATTTCAACCACGACGCGTTTCAACCAGACAGTGGTCATCCTCAGGTGAGAATAGTTTTTCTCACCTAAGGATGACCACTTTGTGATTGAAACGCGTCGTGTTTGAAATAAAAATTTGGTGTGACGTGTTAAGTCGTGTTTTTGTTTATCATTTCCATACCAAGAGGATCCAATAAGAAGTAAAAAAATCTGGCTTAAAAAAATTGCTTTCATAATAAACGATTCAACAAAGTCAAAGTTTTTTTATGCGGTTTCTTTAATTAGCGCTAATTTCCTTTAATAAAATGAATTCTCACAAAAAGAAAAGAAGTCAGGGTCAAGTTTTCTTCCCAGACTGTAATTTTGACATTTCCTATTAGTCGCGGTGTAAAATAAAACTGTCTAGTCCATAAACATGTGCTTACCTGACCAGTACTATAGTAGGTATACTACCAATTATTTTATTAATTAGAGTGCTACAAAATTTCTTTATTCAAGCGCATTAATTATTTTAAATGTAAAACATGCTACCTTATATTTTCAGCTTGGTTTTATTTTTGTTACGTTTGCAGATGAAAAAAAAAAAACATGTTAAAAATTAAAACAAGGGGTTAACACTTGGAATATGGAATATAAATTGAAATCGTGCTTGTAGGTGAAACATGAGGACAAATATTTATCTTTCGTAGCTTGTAAACAAGATGTTACTCTCTAGGGTTTGTGTTTAATTTATCAAGTTTTAAAAAACAGCACTATGCAACAATAATTGTTTTTCTGTAAGTTGTGTAAAAAACAGTCAAGTGTTTTTTAAGCTATCGTTTATGCAAATAACATTAAATATAAGTTTTGAGCATTGTTTCTCCTTGAAGTTTATCTTTTGTAGCTGCATGCGAATGCTTTCTAGTTCGTTTCAATCCTTTGTGTATATTCACATCTTCCACTACATTGGACTAGCGTATTGCGGAAAGTATCAAACATCTTTTGATTGTTCTTTGTACCTTCCTGGAACGGTTTCAAGTTGAATAAGTGGAAAAGTTATGTTGTCAAAATATAAAAATAGCAACTGACATGTTTATCG